ATACCTACCATGTTGGCTTGACATTCAGGAGTCTCCTTGTTCAGCATGTTTAGGATCTGCCTGTACTGATCTTCAGTGAAGTATGGCCCTACCTTCAATGCATCATCTCTGCCTTTCCCTTCATATTCCTGTGTTGGTTTGTCATTTCCAAAGGCTCCAGTTGTTATGTTTGCTGCATATGTTTTCCTATTTTTGAAATCATCTGGATATCCAACAAGTTTATAGCAGTTCTCCTTAGAGTGGCCTGGCTTCTTTCCTTTGTATCTGTTAGCTTGAATTGTTGGTTGTCCTTTGCCTGCTTGCATAGCAATAGGATCTCCTTTCTTTCCTACAACCGAGCTAGAATTCTGGCTTTCATCTTCAATTATCAAGGCATAAGCTTGATTCAGAGTTGGCTCTACAGTCTTCATTAGGATCTGTCTTCTTGCTTGATCATAAGTCTCATTAAGTCCACTCAGAAACTACATTAACCTTTGCTGTTGGAGTTGCTCAACATATTCCTTCGAATTAGGAATAGGCATCATCGCATCATATTCAGCCCATAGTTCTTTGAGCTTTGTGAAATACGCAGATACAAAATCTGTTCCCTGTGAAATAGTGGCTATCTCCCTGTGCAATTGAAAATCCTCCCACGATTCACTTTGTCAAACATTTCTCTCAGATTTTCCCAAACCAAATGCGTGTGAGATGCATACACAATTCCGCTAAGTAATTCCGGAGATACTGTGTTCATGATCCAGGACAGCACAATTGTATTGCATGTCTCCCAATCTTCATGTAATGCAAGCTCGAATGAGCTCTTTTTGCATGTCCCTAGCACAAACCCTAGCTTCCTCTTAGCTTGCAATGCAATTCGCATAGATCGACGCCATAAACCATAGTTTTCTGATCTTGTGAGCTTTACAGGAATCAAAATCGAGCTGGGAGTATCTCAAGGATGTACGAATAGAGGATGCGTGTGATCGATTTTATCAACTTATCAGTCGTCATTAACAGTTGTTGGTCGAGCTTCGTGAGGAAGACGATATGAAAAAGAGAAAATTATTGTAGATCTAACAGAATTTGCGGAAGTCTAAACCTTGCACTGCTCTGATACCATGTGAATTTGATAAATCTGAGTTCACACTTCAGATTTATCAATGCAAGCTCGATTAAAGATCTGCCATGGCTGAGAGTAAATGGAAGAAGGAGACGACCACAAAGAAGAAAATAAAAATGATTCTTTATATTAGAAAAGGAAGTAATTACAAAATATATACTTCTAACTTAACTATAGTTGCAACAAGTAACTATCGTTTTAACCACCTAACCATGGTCAACTGGGACCCATCACTAACTACTAACTAACTAACAATATTACCTAAATATTCTTCACACGTACAAAGGCACCGACACCAAGCTAACCAAAATGAGCCTTCCCCTTATGCAAAATTAACTAATATATGTTATATGGGTTGCTATTTCATGTTTATTAGAACATATATTACACTTGATGAGTGTAAAACGTCTGAATTGCGTTTAAAACATTTTATTTATAATCACTTAAGATTTCCAACCATTTTTGGTTACATGTTCCTTTTATACATATTATTTTGACTTTTTAACCATATCAGTAAGAGTTAAACTATTATAAGCAACAGTTTTAAAATGTAAAAGTTGCAAGCGAGCTTATGTTTTTACAAGTTTGCTCTGCAAGTAGAAATTGGAATAGTGCACGTCCAAAGAAAGGGCAACCCGGTGTACAAAGTATTTGGCATTCATGCAGGGTTTCAGGGACGGGGAAGGGCAGCACTCCAAGGGTGTGATGTAAGTAGCTTACCCTGATACAAGCATCAGTGGCTGATTCCACGGCTTAAACTCGTGACCTATAGGTCATATAGAGATAACTTTACCATTACATGCACGTCCAAAGAGCATTGGTATATTAATGGTATATACATTGAGTTCAAAGCATGTAATAATAAAAAAAATTAAAATAGAAAAGCATTTGGTAGGTCCAAATTTGGTCAAACATTCATTGAAAGGCATGATTATATCAGGTGAATAATGCTATGGCCTCCTTTGAATTCTCTCCACTGGTTCGCAATCTTGCATAACCTCGAAACTTCTTTTTACTATATTTGTAGCTTTTACCCATTCTGTGGTTATTATTAGAATGTGTTGGTTTTTAGTAAAGGATTTAAGTTTTGTATATTGACAGTGTTAAAAGCTGAAGCTGAAACAAATTTCAATATGACTTGTGAGGCTGCTAGCCCTAGGTACTTTTTTTTTTTTTTTGTGGTGTCCGGCCCAATTTGTACATATCTTAATTTTACGGGACACGTACTATTTCCCACCAGTAAGGCATCGGATAACTATGTCTATCAAAAGTTTGAACATATGAAAATAAATCACCTAAAGCAGTCTGATTTTTCGTTTATAGTTATTGATAGGAAGCATAATACTTGTAGTCATAGGCTACCAAAATTCATCTTTTCTCTAGTGAAATATGTCTCATGGTCATGAATAACAAATTTTACGGCTTGTAACTGAGGTTCCTAGCGCCTAGGTTACTTTTTGTTAAATTGTGGTGTTCATGTCAGCTTGCGTAACCTATCACAGAGCATCTGTTACCTCCCATCAATACAGATATTGAATAACTCTATCCACCAAGACTTAAATACTAATTCCCTTAGGGTCAGTTTGGAAAGCCATCAGGTAATTGGAATTAGTGTAATTACTAGGGTAGTAATTAGACAGCCTAGTAATTACACAGTTGTGTAATTACTACGACTTGTTTGTTTGTCATAGTGTAATTACAGTATAATTACAAGTTTACTGTTTGGTTGCACAAGTGTATTACATAATTAGATTAAATTTTAAATAAAGTAATTATCAAAACTTAAAAGTTAATATAATAAATATATGCCTATAAATTTTTATAAGTATAAATGATATTATATTTGGTATTTTTCGTGAATATACATTAATTAGTAATCATATGTTTATAACTAATATAGTAAAAATAATTTATATATTTTTTAAATTAATAATATTTAGTTTAGATACTTACAAAAACTAAAAATATACGTTTTGTAAGTACTTCATGGAATTCATATTTGATAAAATAAATCAATATTTATAAATATAATGTCATAACATTATTCAAATGTTTGACAAAATTACTAATCTATCAATTCTAACTAAAAAAATAAACAACATGCAATGTGAGCCAATACTACTAAAACAAGTAAATCAAACCATGGATATAATACACTTTCAAAATTCAAAAAAAAAAATAATAATAGTTTAACATATGTCAAACTCCAACATAATAATAATTTCCACTACAACTTAAGATTAGGAAACATAATAAGTTTATAACCACATTCAACAACGAAATTTCACTTTAATTGCATCACTCATAATATGCCAAGTTTGTTAATGACTCGTTATTTCTAATATTAGGAGGTGTAGTTTCAAGAAATAGAATAATACAATAAATAAAAAATAAAATATAAGCAATAACATGGAATCACAAGAAGTAGAGGTAGAGAAATAAAAGATAAATAATCTATAAAGAAAAATATATTTTAAAATTTCAAAAGAAATTAAAAATTAAAAATAAAATTTAAAAAATTAAAATAATAGAAATAAAAAGTTATAAAGAAAATAAATTAAAATAAAAACAAAAGGAAAGAAACTAAAAAGTAGCCTTGTAATTACACAGTAGGCGTTTGGACATAGAATTGTAAAATTTCAAAAAATGGTGAAAAAAAATTTCAAGTGAAAATGGTATTTGAAATTTGGAGTTGTGTTTGGACATAAATTTCAGTTTGGGTTGTTTTTGAAGTTTTGTGAGTGATTTGAGAGTTTTTCAAATTTTCGAAAATTTTCAAAATGCATCTTCAAGTGAAAATTGAAAATTTTATGAACAAATGCTGATTTCGAAAAAAAGTGAAATTTTTTTAGAAAAAAGGAAAAACAAATTATGTCCAAACAGGCTCACAGTGTAATTACCACCAATTCTCACCTCTCCCTTGGAGGGAGAGTGTAATTATACCCCTCCAATTACATCCAATTTCATGCTGACCAAGTAATTACTTGGCCAAACAAACATGCCAAACTGTGTAATTACACTCAATTACACCCAAATCCATTTTCAAGGTGGCTTTCCAAACATACTCTTATCCGATCTTTCATTTAACATAATCTACTACTTTGAAAAAATAAATGTCTGACGGCTAACTGTCATAACTATAAGGGAATGTTTATATTCTATCCCTTTTCAGTAAGTATCACAAATAAGAAATATCATTATTCTTGAAGTTTTTGTTATTCCTATTTAACCATAGGTATCATACTCCAGATGGAAAAACATCCTGCCAATTGAGATAACTGTTTACTATTATTAGAATTGCTCTCATCTTTCAGCCACATCAAGCAAACCATACGGTGATATTGGTTCTCAAAGTTTTTTGGAGTATAACGCAATTTTATTCCAGAAATCTATAGCCACCTTACATTGCAGCATAAGGTGTTTCATGTTTTCAGGTTCCAAGCCACATAGTTGACTGGTTGGGCTATTGATAATTCCTATATCAACTACTGAACTCAATCACTTGCTGCCGTTACTGAGGTACTGGTCCAAAGATATCGAGGTGTTGGTTTACCAGTACGAGAGGCCATCTAAAAGAAATTTCGAATCTTCCTTCTCTTGTTAGTTGGAACAGAACATCCTATCTTGTTGATTCTCCTTTCCCACCGCCTCGAGCTCTCGCTTTTAGGGTGGATGTGCATTTTTGCATCGAGGAAAACCCCTATTTCCTCTTTCAGGTTAGGCGCCCTTTGTTCGAACGAAAGAGGGTCCTAACTAGTACTCCATCTCCATCATTGCATATAGGAATATAGAAAGCAAAGAGGAAAAGGCATTTTATCTTGTTCAAAGTGTTCAATCTCCATAACCAATTAAAATTATGTCCTTGATGTCTTCTTTCCATACGCTTTTTTTCTTTTTTTGCCTATAAGGATATTAATATTATTATTTAACAATAACAAAATTTTGGTACAAAGGTGATGCTTGTAAAAGCACGCCCATTATATTACAGTTCCATGGTAGTCTCCTAGCATATATATCCTCGTTTGTTTGCCTCCAAAATAACCAAAACATACAAAGAGAGGAACTTCCAAAATGTTGATAATACTAATACTACTACTACTATGCATCATAGTTCCAACTTTGCCAGAACATCTGTCACTCAATTTCTGTTCCCTGTAGATATGATCAAGTTGCGGGTCTCCAACTGGCTAAGCAATGACCTGCAATCATAAATTAAGTTAGATCTACCATTCCATTCTTTCCACACAATCGACGTACTATTATGCTTTTGATGGAATTTTGCAAATGCAGTATACTTCTTAGTTGTTTATCCAATTCTCTTCTTCTTTCCTTCGGTTTCTTGCCTCACTTTTTCTGCACATCTTCAGGAGAATGTATTGTTCAGTTATCTACATTAAGCCATTTGTTCTCATATGGGACTGGACAGATCACTTTAGAATAGACATCACATAACAAGCAATAGTATTTCCTGAGCCGAGGGTCTATCGGAAACAGCCTCTCTCTACCTCCCAAGGGTAGGAGTAAGGTCTGCGTACACACTAACCTCCCCAGACCCCACTAGTGGGGTCCACTGGGTTTGTTGTCGTTGTTGTTATAAAAATCACTAGTATGCAGTGGATGGGACAAATTCTGCAGGATCACATCTAGTATGAGTCATGCAACATACAACATGCTTACTAATACACTCGTTCGGATGTAAGATTGGAGCCATTGATAGATGTCCCATGCCACCTTTCATGAAGAACTCTATTCGAGAATAAATGAATTGTGATATAGTGCAGAATAAGACACTCATTGGCATTATCAAATTGACTCTTCAAATCTACCACATAAATTTTTTAAATTGTATTCTTCAGTATATCTTTATAAACCCTCATACAAAGGAATTTTCTCCCCTCCTTACTTTGATTAATTCTTCTATCACTTAAGGAGGAATTGACGTGTTCAAATCAAGGGCTACTCATACCTTCCCAAAATCTAGTCATATTTTTCTGAACACTCCAACAAAATAAGAACTAGTTTTCTCTAACTTCAACCATATGAAAGCATCAAAAGACTCTGTAAAATTGATAGTAAGATTATATTTTTACATGGTGATCAAATTTTAAGCCCTTGTATAAATTTATAGAACCAGACTACACTTAGTCCTTCGCAGCTCCCAAAGTAATGTGGACAATATAGCATATCACCATAGTTTAGATATTATCAACAAAGAGTAACAATAAATAGTAGCTCAACCGGCATAACATCAGAGGCACCCTTGCATAATTGCCTGCTATTGTGGAAACTAGCCAAAATGAATGATAGGTTGAATAACAGAACCACCACCCACCCCACCCCTCAAAGCAGGGGCAGATCCATGTGGAGGGTGTGGGTTCACGTGCACCCATGATCCCCTCCCTAATTACACCGTGTATAACACTACAATATCTCTTCAAATTTTACGTAAACATGTGTGTGTACCCAAGGTCAAGGAGTCATATGGTGCAATGGTTATGTGCACCTCTAATAATGTGCTCAAAGGTTCAATTCCCATGCCTGCTTCTTCTCTTGTCTTTTCTTTCTTCTTTGGTTTATTTTTTTAAAATTCCTAAGTCCAAAACATTGAAATTCTAGTACTTCTTTTGTCACGGTAAAACTTTATAATCAATTAAACCAAATGTTTATGTTAAAACTAGTAATAGTAGAGGATGCAACATATAGTCATCAGACGGATTCAACTGAATTCAATATATTTGACATGGAGTGGAGTACAGCTATATATCTGTGAAAAATTACTATGATTTTCAATTCTGAACCCATAATTTCTAAATATAATGGATGTAATACTAAGAACCTAAAGGTTGAACCCCATCAAATCTAAATCCTGAATTTACTGATCTGTAATAGTACGTCCATCTTCTTGAAATCCTCAATCCGCACCTGCCCCCGAGCCCCTGAAAACTAATGGTAAGATTATGACGCACTTCAGAGCTAGAATCATCAATCAGTGGCAGAACTATATGACTTGGCAAAGTAGAATCCTTGCCATTACAACCGTAACCACCAAACAACATGTCGAAATATCACCCTATAAAAGATAAATGACTTGAGAGAGTAGGACCCTTTGCCATTACAACCACAACACAACATGATGGCCCTTAAGCAAATATACCAGAACAACAATCTCAGTTTTCTTTCAGTGCAAAAGAGCTACTTTTCAAGTGTTTGGAATGACGGAAGTCATTTTCCATTGAAACTGTGTTCCTAAAGAATTTTTTTCCATGAGAAATATTTTCCTACAAAATTGCTTTGCTTGGTTGACATGCAGAAGATAACTTTCAAAAACAAAGTATATTAAAGATTAATAATAATATTAGCAAACCGGAGAGCGGAGGGCTAAAGATTGATAATAATGTCTAACTGTTAATCGGAGCAAGTGATATGAAGTTAGAGTTAAAATAGTTGCAATGACAAATGATTCCCGCCCATAAGTGAGGGAAATCCATTTCCCCCTTTTGGTGGAAGATGTTTTCCTTGGGTAATAAAACACAAGAGAATGACTTCCTTATGCAAAATGACTTCATCATGCACTTCATAAAGAAAACTAAACATATAAGATATAACTGACTATGGACCTTTCACCCTGACTTCTTCCAAAAGATGGTTTAACTTCGAGTGACAGCTAATAGAACCCTAATATATGCCCTGAGCTAATAACTAACAAATCTAAAAGGGCAATCCTAATTATCAAAAGCAACGTAGCAAGATAGGACTCAAAAGAGTGATCACAAGGCAGAAAAGTAAATCTAGGATATTGATTCCATGTATAGCTAATCTGAGCTCCATAGGTTACCATAGTCTTGCATCTTAAACCTTTGGCCCGAAGAAGTTCATGATTTCAGGGGGAGTGTATGTTTATATATAAGGAGAAAACGAGGAAAAGAGACCAGCCTGGTTTGGAGAAAAATCACTCACCTGCAAGATGAGTACAGTTAATGCTGGACAGCAAATGGGGAAAAGAGCGACTAAGATCCCACTGCTTATGTGAGCAAATAGAAGGCACTGGCTACCCTGACACATGACTTCCCTTGCCTGAACCTGCCACCGGTCAAAGAGATACAATATACAAAGCTGAAACAAGTGAATCAGCAAATACAAGCTAGAAGAAGTTTAATATAACAACTATGCCTCAGTTCCAAACAAGTTGGATCGGTGATATGAATGTCCACTTACCGCATTTCTCCATTTAAATCATCCCAGCCCAACATTATACAAGCCATAAGAAGTTTAATATAACATAAAAATAAAAGAAGGTAGAAGTTGTACTTGAGAATGTCCCGGAAGAGAAAAAATATAAAAAGGCATTGTCCTTGCGCAATTATAGAAGCAGAAAATAATATTTGAAATCCTAGGTGCAATGGTGCATAATGAAAAACAGTTCATGAATCCAAGAGTTAATCCGTCACAGATATAATTGTTAGCATATTTAGGCTCAAATCTATTAAAATACTTAAAAACGAGTAACTTCATCCTTTATCAACATGCAATAACTTTATTTACATTTGTTGTTGTCAAGATCTTTTTTTTCATTCTTTTTTCGTATCAGAAGAAATCCCGTGCGCTTCTTTGCCAACTTAAATCAGATGCACAATTTCAAAACTTGTGAAACATCCCCAACTTAAACACAAGGCTTTGTCCGCGGCCAGGTTCAAACCCGTGCCATGCACCTAACTCACATCACGTGTTGTGTCCGTATCATTGAACAAGCACTAGGGGCTTGTCATGATCTTCCTTTCCCTGTCATACTTATAGCTTTGTTAGATAAACACCAAAGCTGATGTACTCCCTCCATCACAATTATACGATAATATTTCTATTGGAACACTCAAAATGTTTGACGTCATTCCTATTCTAAAAAGGGCAGCCCGCTACACTAAAATCCCGCTATTCGGGGGTCTTACGCAGTCTCACCCTGTATTTCTGCAAGAGACTGTTTCTACGGCTCAAACCCGTGACCTCCTGGTAACATGGCAGCGTCATCCCTATTCTATATAACTTTTTTCACAACATTCAAAAATTCAAATCCATTAAATTAATTCACAGTTTGAACTTTGATACTTCACAATATAAGAGAGATATACTGAATTACATATAAAGTTTATTTCCTACTAAAAATTGAATCCATTTTGGCAAAATCATAACACATTCATTTCTCACGATATAATAATTCCATTATAGATAAAATCATACCCAAAAAAGAGAATATTTACAGGTATACACGTTCCTCCTTTGATATCATCATGCATCAACCATCAAAGTATCACCATCTTCGTCGTGCATTTCCTCAAGATCCCATCCCCTAAACTCAACATCATCATCATCATAATTATCATCATCATCACCAACTTCCCTCGATTCTAAGGAATGCACGAATTGTAGAACAACGCGATTCTCCTCAGTTTCTCTATCAATTTCTTCTTGATCTTCTCGCGGCAACTTATGCCGGCAAAGTGGACACGTATTACTCCGATTAAGCCAAGGAACAATACAGTCATTATGAAAGAAGTGCTTACAAGGCAATTCACTCGCTTCCGAATCAACTTCGAATTCCTCCATACAAATCGAACAACAGCAGCTTTTTAACAATTCGTTAATTTTGACGCTGGGGAGCGAGCTGAGGAACGATTTAAGAGTCGGTGAACGGAACTGTGTTAACTCAAAGGAAAAATCATCGGAGTTGTTGTCAGTCCAATCTGAATCGGAATCGGAAGAGTACAAAGTAGTAATGGAATTGGTAGCGACGGCGGTTGGGGGGGTAGAATTGGAGTTAGGAGGTTGAGGAGGAGGAGTAAAAGTTGCAATGGTGTAATTAGGGAGGAGGTGACGATGGAAGCAGCGAGGGCAGCGGAAGGAGGATCTGGCGGCGGAGGTGGTGGTGGTGATGTGGAAAGCGTGGTTGCAGTTGTAGCACCGGTATGAACGGCGGTTGGAGGCGGCGGAGACGGTGGTGGTGGTGGCCTCCGTCGACATGACGGGACTCTTTGTACTCGGTTTCAACTTTTCCTATTTTTTGTTTTATTTTCCATTTAATTTATGTTATAGGTGTTTAACGGGTGGGCCGGGCCGGGCATCTATTTTTTGGACCCGCACGGGTTACGGTCCGTGCTGGTTTTGGGTTGGTTCCTAACGAGTTTAACGGGTTCGGGTTTATCCGGATAAAAATTGAACCGTAAGGGTTACGGATTGAGGGGGCCGGGCCGGGTTTAGTGTATTTTTAATTTTTTTTTGGAATTTTTTATAAATATTGTAAGTTATATTAATACAAAGTACTAACATAAAGAATACAAGGAAGATGGGAAAAGTTTGCACTTATTGCAATTTGCAAGTGCTGCTTTTATTTCATAATTCAAACTTACAAATTAAAAGGTTTACATTTTTAACAACAAGTAAATTCACCAAGGGTTTTAAATATATACCTCTAAAATGCAATATTTCACCTATATAAATAGTGTAATTTTCGACGAACCACCCTCAGGACTATATAGCTTCGCCATTCCCTTGTTTACATAGTTGACTGATCACATAATTGAATTGACAATATGAACAGATAAATAAAACACATAATACAAATAGGTAAAAAAAAAATACCTTGGAAATCAACCGGGCTTTTTCCATGCGTTCAACAAAGTTAGATGAACTATCAACTGCTGATGCTCTTACCACAAAAATTCTGGGTATTTGCTTTAATCTGGGGTTTCCAAGTAAAATCAATTGTAATCCTCTTGGTGTTTTAAATCGATTAATAACATTTGATTTTGCAGTAATTATGGATCTACAAGAACATGTACAAGTACTGCTACTTGCCATTTTTTCCCTTCTTTTTTTCCTGTTCAATTTCTTGCCCACAGAATTGGAAAATTAAAAAAAAAAAAAGTAGCCGTTTAAACCGGGCCGGTCCGGGCCGGTTAACCCGGTAAGAGTTACTGTTCACTCTTTCGGGTTCAACCGGGCCGGTTACCCGTTTCAAAGAATTAAACCGGACCAACCCCCCCAACCCCCCTACCCAGCTCAGCCCAGCCCCCTGTTACCGGTCCGGGCCGGTTCCGGGTTCTACCGGTCTGGGCCGGTCCGGAACCGGGTCAACCCAACCCGTTTAACACCCTTAATTTATATGCATTGATAGGATATTGTTGCGACCAAAAATAGTCACGTAAGTGTACGCGATCGTCAAGTAATAAAGTAGTGAGTAGAGTATCGCTCCCACGAATACTTGTGATTAACTATTGACTGATTCAAACTCAATTAACTTATCGATTGAAGAGATTTTTCATAATCTCATTCTAGATCTCATTTACCTCAAATCTCATTCTGGATTACAAAAGGTGAAAAAGCAAGTGGAAGATATCTTCAAGATTATACAAAGAAGGACAAAGTCGCTCATGGATTTTATTGACCGATTCCAGAGGGAAAGCATGCTGCTCCCGGAAATAGAAAATTGGGATTGGGCGGCTATAACATTCATCAGGAATTTGAACCCAAACAGGTTAGAGGCCTCTAAGAGACTGACGGAAAGCCTTTGAGAATTCTCTGCAAGGACATGAAATGATGTGTACCATCGATACATTACAAAGCTCCGAATAGAAGTAGACATCTCGGTGCTCCCCGAGTTCGAAGTGAAGGATACCCCCGGATATGGCCTTTGACCGAGAGGTACTCGTAGACAAGATGAACTTATGCATCGGGATTCCAAAGTACAATACGAACCGTACCCCCGAACCATATGGAGTGAGATAGACCAGCGACCAAGGCATATTTGTGATGATAGGAATTCCGGTAGGAGAGATTAACTACACATATGCTGGGCTAGAAAAAATCGGAGACGTCCTGGATCAGTGATTATCACTCCAGACCAATGCTCGCCGACTATGGCTTCAGCATGAAAATGATGGATTTAATAGCAGCGCTCAAGGACATGGTGGACAAAGTAAGATAACAGAAATAGATGAAACCTTTATACTCCCTCTCTCCAAACCTCTAACCTTGTGTTAACCCCGCCTCGTGTCTCATCGATCAACACTATATCATTGGCAAATAACATGGACCATGGCACCTCCCCTTAGATGTGTTGCATCAGCACGTCCATTGCCAAGGTAAATAAAAATGGGCTAAGAGCTGATCTCTGGTGTATCCCTTTCACAACTGGGAAATGATCCGAGTCACCTCCCACAGTCCTCACCCGAGTCTTAGAACAATCATACATATCCTTAATCACCCTAGTGTACGCTATCGGAACTCCGCTAACCACATCCATAGAACCTCCTTCAAAATTTTATCATACATTTTTTCAAGGTCAATGAACACCATATGCAAGCCGTTCTTCCTTTTCATATACTGTTCCACTGATCTCCTCACCAAATAAATAGTTTCTGTCGTCGAACGCCCTGACATGAATCCGAACTGATTCTCGGAAATAGACACGCTCCTCCTCACCTTGACTTTCACCACCCTCTCCCAGACCTTTATAGTGTGACTCAACGGCTTTATACCCCTATTGTTATTGTAATATTGGATATCACCCTTGTTCTTGTACAATGGAACTACGTACTGCATCTCCATTCTTCAGACATCTTCTTTGTCTTAAAAATAACATTGAATAACCCAGTAAGCCAATCCAAGTTTGCTTGGCCCGCATTTTTCCAAAATTTCACCGGTATTTCGTTTGGTCCTATCGCTTTACCCCTGCTCATCTTACGCATCACCCTTTCCACCTCATCTAACTTAATATGCTTACAATACCCAAAATCATGCCGACTCTCGAAATATTCCAACTCACCCAACACGATGTTTATGTTCACTCTCCGTTCAACAATTTATAGAAGTATGTCTGTCATCTTCGTCTAATATGTGCCTCGTCCATCAATACATTACCACCTCGTCTTTGATGCACTTCACTTGGTCCAAGTCTCGGGACTTCCTCTCATTCACCTTGGCCAACCGGTATAGCTTTTTGTCCCTGCTTTTGCCTCCAAGTTTCTCGTACAAACGTCTAAACACCGTAATCTTGGCCCTGTCACTGCTAAAGTCGCCTCTTTCTTTGCCTTCTTATAACACTCCAGATATGTCCTTTTTCGCTCCTTATTTGTACTCTCCACAAGCTTTAAATAAGTCGCATTCTTGGCTTCCGCTTTACCTTGGACCTCTCTATTCCACCACCAGTCCCTTTTGTGACCCCCAGAATACCCTTTCGTGACCCCTAAAATTTCTCTAGCAGCTTCCCTAATGCAATTCACTGTCACATCCTTGATGTATCCCCCTACTCCTCCATGACCCCATAGCCAGCAATCTCTCTCCTACTAAGCTTTGTCCTTAGTCAAGTTATCCCACTTGATCTTAGGTTGCCTACGCATCACCCTCTTCTTCCTACTCATCATGATTTTCAGGTCCATAACTATGAGCCTATGTTGGGTCTTGAGGTACTCACTTGGGATGACTTTGCAATCAACACATAAACCTTTATCATATTTCGTAGAGAGAAGGTAATCAATCTAGGTCCTGGCCACCGAACTCCAAAATGTGACCAGGTGCTCCTCCCTATTTGAAAAACTCGAGTTAGCTAACCAAGTCAAAAGCTCTAGAGAAATCCAATAGCGAGGTACCTTCCTTGTTCCTATCCCCAAAATCAAACCCGCCATGCACATTATCATAACCCCTAGCATTAGCCCCAATATAGCCATTGAAATCCCCTCCATAATGACATATACTCCCTCTGTTCCAATTTATGTGAACCTGTTTGACTGGGCACGAAGTTTAAGAAAAAATGAAGACTTTTGGAATTTGTGATTCTAAACAAGTTAAAAAGGGCCCAAAGCATTTGTGTGGTTATAAAAACTTCTCATTAAGGGTAGAATTGTAAGTTTACACTAAATTATTTCCAAATTTAGAAAGGGTCATTCTTTTTGGAACGGACTAAAAAGGAAATAGGTTCACATAAACTGGAACACATGGAGTAGTATTATTAAAAATTTAAAATTTTAAAATTAAAGTAAGCATACATGGTAAATAATATTATAAATGTATATGGAGTGAACTGGTGTTTCAGTAGGCATACCGCGTAGATTTCTCAAAATAAAAAGAACAAAATAAGAGGTTTTTACTTTGGGGTTTTGACACAGTTACCCATAAAAACAAAACTTTTTACCCTTGTCTACCTATTTATTTTTTTACCCATAAACTAATTACATTTCCTACCCATAGTAATTTTTGTGGGGAATTTTTTCTTTATTCTCAAATTCTTTTTTATTTCTATGCTTCTTTTCTTTTCTCCTTTTCTTTTTTCTCATTTTCTTCCTATTTTTTTTCTCTTTTATTCATTTATTTTTGCCCAAATCGTATTATTGATATTTTTACCATAACTTATTTCACACTCAAATTTGACTCCTTCTTTATTTTATTTTTATTTTTATTTATTTTTTATTTCTTGTTCCTTTTCTAATTCCACGTGATTGCTATGCAAACCTTGATCTCCTTCCCTACAAATATCAGTACATCTCTAGCATTAGCAGTAACACCAACCAGTGATGGAGCAAGAAAACATAATCTAAGGCCACTAAATCTCCATATATACTAGTTAGAATAGAAATAATAACAAAATATTGGAAAATGCAATAAAAATATAAGTAGCAAAAAAGACTTCTAGTACCATATGATACCAATATGGTATGCATTTATACCAACAGAGTATATGATTGCTCTAGAATATTGCTACAACTATTTTGTGACTATATTATTGTACCAAAACATTAAAGGATACAATAACAGTATGAGAAAATTACATGCTCGCGTTGCAAGCTAAATATTTGCTAAGCAACTTGCTCATTCCATATACTAACATGGTATATAGGTGTATGGGTCGTTCCAACAATTGCCTATAATTATAAAAACTATTACATAAGACACATAATTTATATCCATTAGCACAAAAAAAATTTCAGCACTGCAAATCACGTTCATATAAATAATTTCATAATAGAATTTACTTAAAATGCAGCCAAAACAACCAAAAAATGTTTA